GATCTGGTGGTCCTGGGATCAAGTCTCTCATTAGGCTTCCTGCCCTGAGGGGCGCTTGCCCCTTCCTCTGCCTGTCTCTTTCTCTGTCTCTTATGAATAAATAAAATCTTAAAAAAAAAAAGTATGTGTGACACTTAATAGATTTTAAAAATGAAGTTAAATTGGGGGGAAAAAAGTATGTGTGACACTTAATAGATTTTAAAAATGAAGTTAAGTTGGGAGATTTTCCTTTTAAAATTAGAACTTAATATTGAAATTAGTTTAATTAAAAATGAGATTGGAATTAAAACTAGAAATTTGTCAATGGAACACAATATAATCTAAAACAGATCAAAAGTATTTATGAGAGATTAGTTTCTGAGAAATGTAGCAATCATTTTGGGTGGAAAGTAGGTTATTTAATCAATAATTCTTAATAAATTGACTCTCCATACTAAAGACACTAACATTAGATACTTAACATACTCTGCAATAATAATTTCCAGTTTTAACTATTCAAAATATAAAAACTAATAAATCACAGACTGTAATTTTCCATGGAAAATTAGAAGAAAATTCAGAACATAATTTCCCATTTTATTTATACAAAACATAAAACTAAGAAATAATTACCTACTGTACAAAACAAATGACAGAAAATTAGAAGAACATACAGGAGATATCCAAATACAAAAAAAAAAAAAAAGAAAGAAAGAAAACCTTTGAAACAAGATGGAAAGCCCCAAAATCATAAAGAAAAAGAATTGATAAATCTTACTACCTAAGTGTTAGGTTCTATTGGTTTTTTCTAAATACCTTGGACTTCTCAAATAAGCCTAGAATCTCTATAGAAGTCCTGGACTTAGACATTCTGGAGCTCGAACATTCCAGAATACTCTGGAACTCAAATTAGACTAAACCTGTATTCCCTTCTAGAACTATCTAATAAGCAAACTCTTGGCAACATAGGATCAACACTTAAATTTAGAAATTTTAGACATTTAGAATTTTAGAAATTTAAAACATTCTCCAAAAGGACCTGTAGAAAAATGAAACCCATGTTTATTTGCACAGCTTGTGAATTTCTATGTGATTAGTCATTGGAATTAGTGAAGTACAATTGTGTTCATTTTGAAAGCATTATAGCAATCATGGCAACAGATTTCAGACTAGCTCTTACAGTGGGTACCATAAGATTCTAGCAGAGAAAAGGAGTAATGTTGAACTCAAGTCACCGTTATCACCTGTTTTTTTCCAAAAAATTCTGTTTTCACTGTGTTTACACACCAAAGATGCAACAAGATTTTGTTTTTAAGGTGTTAGGCGAATCTCCATTTGAGAATGAGTGCCCTAGGTCTTTAGAAAAATTCTCAACATTCTGAGAAAGGAATTCAGACTCCTTTTAAAGTAAGTTAGTTGCGAGATGCAATGACTACATAGAAACTTAAGCAGAACTTAAGCATCATGTACCTCGCTCTTCATAAATATTTAACACGGTGTCAGGCACGTAATGGGCACTCATGAACTATTTTTTATTTCGATGATGGAATGAATGGAAAAGTGAACGGAAAAATGTTTTAGGGGAAAAAGAAAACAAAGCAAACTGTGATCTGAATATACAAGCAATTTTAATGTCTTAGCACTTCAAGCTGAGTTTTCTTCAGCTGCAAATCACATTGTTTCTGTTGCCTCTAAACTAAAACTAAAAAACAGTTTTTACTGTTTTCTGCCTAGTTCCACTTTCCATTATGGTCTCTTTCTTCAAATTCGATCAAACAAATTTCTAGATCAGTTGTTGCTCTGTGTTCCCAAGATTACACGCTAAGACAAGCTTCTCATAATGGTCACTCGGTATTAACTCTAAATAAATATGTAAATACATACATAGCATGGAAGAATAAAAGGGAAGAAGAAAGAAAGGCAGAGAGGAAGGGGAAAAAGGGAGAGGGAAAAGGGGAGGGGAGGGGAGGGGAGAGGAGCAGAATACTGTTTTATTTTATTTTTTTCCAGCAAATTTATCTTAGCCTTTCATTGAAAAAACAACTCAGTGCAAAATCCTTACCACCGTACACATGGCGGCTTTTCCTTTAACACAGCCATGATGTAAATGACATCTATGTGTTTTCGGAGATTAATTTGGAGCCTGTAAACTTAACATTTCAGTTTAAAATTATTTTCATACGAGAATGAACATGATGAAAAGATGCCAGTTACATCATTAAATATTAATTCATTTTACTGAAATGAATCCAATTCTGGATTCTTTTTTTTCTTTTTTTCCCCTTGGAACAGTTAATGAAACTCAGATCCAAACAATCTTTGGGCGATATACAACGAGCTTCATCACTCCTCACCAGAGAATGGAGAAACTCTTTTGGACTGTAATAATTTAGCCATATGTTAATTTAAGAAATAAAAAAGGAAAATGTTTCTACTTGGGTTATTCTGGACACATATACTGTTATGTCCTTACTGACTATTCAACATGTTTTCTCACCTTTTTAACACATAGGTCCCTACTAAAAACCAATGTCACTTTATATAAGACAGCATAGAAAATCTATAAGTATTGGTTTGAAGTGCACATGGAAACTAGCGGAGAATTTGGCACACATGAAGCACTCATCAAACATTGGTTGAATAAAACTGTAGAAATGGACATGTCCACACCAAAATACCACCTATACTTTTTAATAAACCTTTTGAAAAGGACCTGTCTGAAGTCTTTCATTCTCAACAAAAACAAAATTAAAGACAACACGGCTACTTACTCCCCAAATTACCATTTGATTTACCTGGCCAACCAACCTCACCTTGTTGATTAGAATTAGGTGTCAACTAAGAGTACTTCTTACTGCCCTGAAAGGAAAATTTTCAGCAGGACTTGTAAAAATCTTGTCAGACGCTCTGCTTTTAATCTTCATGTACACAAATAAATAATTGAACACCCCCATCATTACTGTGCTTTGCTTCTGTTTCAGTTTTCGAATTTAGATCAGTAACACTCATCTTGGGGGTTGCTGATTTGCTTTTAGCACTAGCAGATAAGCTTAGCTTAGTGCAAGATTTAAATAATTGATGGATAATTAGAAAACAAAAACCAGAAACACTATACACTAATTATAATTTAATTCACATTCACACTTATAAATTTTGAGACATGTCAACAAGGTAATTAAAATAGCAGTTCTTATTTCTCTTTTGGCAATAGATTTTCATAATGAAAATCATACAATGAGTATATAGTTACTGAAACGTTAGAAGTAAAAAGAGGTTTCTTTTAGAATGGCGTAATTCAAATAACTTTTTATTGAATGAATCACTAAACTCTGGCATCTATACTAAAACACAGTTCTAAAACAATTGAAGTTAATGTTGGCCACATGGGTCTTAATAACACAATAACTGCGACATTTCTTATATTACATGCACTCAACATCTTCACTATTCAGTTTTGCTATTTCAGCAATTCAAATGAACAAATATTTATCAGACACAATTATATATGAGATACATGTTGACTGCTATAGCACTAAAGATAAACAAGGAAGGATGCAGATCCTGGTCTGATGGAACATACAACCTAGTTAGATGAGGAGGGATAAGATAAATAATTACACAAAAATGTTGAATTCCTAACTGAAAAAAGAGCCATTAGTTAAAACTATAACACACCATGAGATGCTGTTTATACGTATTCTTCCACCATCCTAAATCCTTGGGGTTTTGGCATTGAGTAAAAGATTATTTTTGTCTAAAAAATGCCTTGATCACAGGAAGACGGCCACCTTTTTCTATTATTGTTAATCAGCCTGATTGGATCTGGAATGCTGAGATACTGAGAAACTGAGTTCCTTAGGAAATTTTATCACAGAACTTTATATAAAGGTCTGAAAACTGTACTGTTGTGAAAGTATGGCTTTTTTTTTGCATTTAAATTTTTTTACTTTATTTTTCTATTTTCATTTGAACATCTTTTTTCACTCATCCAAACGGGAAGGGCTGAACCTGATCTTTATGAAATAATTTGGGTTTTGCTTAATATTTGTATTGTGTTTTCCAACACAAAGACTGTCTCCCAGGTTGATATTTTGATTCAGCTTTAAAAATGACTTTTAATATGTGATTCATTTTTTTATTATCATTATTGTTGTCTTTTTTTAATCCCATAGAGATGTATTTTGGAGTGTAATTTACCTACCAGAAAGTAATTATATAAAACATCTTTTTTTATTGACATATAAAGTTCTATTAGTTTTAGGTATGCTATATAATGATTTGATGTACAGATACATTGTGAAATGATTACTACATTAAGTTATATAAAATAACTTTTTGATCCCCAAACCTTAAGTTATTTATTGAGTTAAGAACATCCATTGATCAGTTACTAGATTTTAATATTTCAACTTTTATTAACAGTTGCTGTGATTATCCTGGGAAGAATCCCTATAAAGTTGTCTCATGATTTTCTGGATAGTGAGGGCTGTTATGTACAACTGTGCCTCTTACAAACAGCACAGTATCAGGAAGCAGCCTGTTCCATTGGAATTATTAGATTGAGGAGTCCATCATAGTGCAATTAAGCTCTGCCTTTTTCTGATTACTATTTGTATTTCCCTCAACATAACACTCCCTGACTATTTATAGCTTTTTTCCTACTCTCTGCTTCCTCTTTCTTTCTGCCTATGTGTATCATGTGTTTCATTGTCTATGTCAGATTTTCCGGAATCCTGATTTTTATCAGTCCTCCTCTAAACTTCCTCTATAACTGCTTTTTCCACACTCTTCCTGCCTGACATATTTATTTTTATATTCATTGTATGTTTATTAGGGGCAAATATATATATAAGTTGAGAATAATAACTCACATTTTCTTGCCCTCAATCAAATACTTGACTATTTACCATGTAGGCAGGGAATGTCAACTTTTTACACATTTTCTATTTTACTTCTTTGTATATCAAGAGCAAACCAACAGTGATGGAAAGTCTGACAGAGCTGGAAGAGCCAGAACTTACCTGAGATCTTGGGAAGGTTCTGCTCTGATGTGAGGTGTTTCAACAGAGTGCCCAAATACTGCTCCTTCAGTGCCTGGACAGAACAGGAATCCAGTAGTCAGTACAAGCAAGTGGACACATACATTGGTTTTCATTTCTATTTTTATGCATCAAATATTCATCCAAAAAATGGCACAACTTGAAACAGGAGTACAGACAATGAAGGAGAAAAATTGGAAAAAAAAAGTGTTCAAGGTAATGAAAGGCCAAGAAGGGTAAATCTAAACGTCCCTCTGTAGACCACTTTTGAGATGACCTTATTTAGCAATTCAGATTGACTGAGGATTTTCACTCTCTGATCAAAGAGCAAAGACCATCTCCTCCTTTCTTGTTTTCCAGGTACATGAATTTGAGGGAGGGATAGGTCATAATACTCGGTTCTACCTTTCCACAAACAGCAGAGCATGGATGAAAATGTGGAGAGTGAGCTCTCTTGTAATGTATCATTAATTCTTTTAAAGACATAGGTCTCATGGGGCATTTGGCAATTTCCCTACACATAACACCAACCTTTCATTAGAGAGATTATCCACAGTACCTTACTTTGACCTTGCTGGAACTAAGTAAGGCTCTCTCTAAAACCATGAACTGCTCAAAATCATTTCATTACAGTTGACTTCATGTGGGGTCATACTTATCCAAAGAGGTCATGCACTCTAACACTTTCCTCAGGCAGTTGAATTATATTCTGTCTACACTTTCATTTATTGACTACATGTGATTTTCCAGATTCCCAGAGCCTTTCCATAATTTAACTGAGCTAAATAGAATGACCTTGCTTTTTAAAAATGCAAAAAAAAATTTATTAAATATGATGATGACAAAATCTCTTTTTTTTTCTTTTGTAATTTCACATAAATGTTTTAGATCATTCCCTTTGGAATAACTTTATTTTCTTTTGGCTTAATATTCATCAAACATTTTGGTGTAGGAACGTCATGTCTGCTCCATGGTGGCCTCTACATCAGCTTATTAATACAAATTATAGGAAATAATGCAAATAATACAAATAATGCAAATAAAAATATAAATTTTAAACCTATAAGACAAAGCTGCCTATGCTTATTGTGAAGAATAATGGGAAATATATTGATTCAATAAGCAATGAAGACATTTTCACTAGAAAACTAGAGTTAACACTTAAATTCCTTAAAAATATGTTGTTTTATAAGAAAATACACTAAAATCACCAGATGACTCCTCCACATCAAATAGCAATGCAGACCTTGATCCTGAATCAGAGAGAAGAGATTTTTTTCAAAGACTGTAACATGGTTTCATCTATCTTATGGTTCTAAGGGTAAATTTATAAGGTTCTGCAGCAGTAAATTCCTAAGATTACAGACTTCAGTTTATAAGTTAAAAGCTATTGGCATTTGTTGACCTCTCACTGGGTTTTAGTAGTTGTTGATGTTTGGTTTTGTTTTTTTTCTAAAAAGACTCTGTAAGGCCTATAATATATAGACAGACTATTGGAGCAATTATTTCTTTATGACGTTTGTTCTTTTGATATTTTGTAAGACATTTTATTTCTGTGAGTGGAAAATTCTTAGAGATAAGTCTTTGAAAGTAAATTAATGGTTTTAGATAAAACCCTCATTTTGTGGTTGTGGTGCTGGTGGGGCATTTGAGACAACATTCCAAGGTATAAATTTTCATATCTCAAGGAAAGACTCTTTTAGCATTTTAAAAGAAGATATAACTCCTAGAAAGAATAGTTATCCATGTGCAAAGTTTAAAAATTAATTTCCACTATTCTGTGACTTCGAAAACTTCCCAGACAAGATGAGAGAAATATAATTAAAGAGCAGTTGCAATACTTTTCTTTTCCTTTTTTTAAAAGATTTTATTTATTTATTTGACAGAGACATAGTGAGAGAGGGAACACAAGCAGGGGGAGTGGAAGAGGGAGAAGCAGGCTTCCCGCCGAGCAGGGAGCCCACTATGGGGCTCCGTCCCAGGACCCTGGGATCATGACCCCAGCCGATGGCAGACGCTTAATGACTGAGCCACGCGGGCGCCCCTGCAATACTTATTTTCAAACATGGAATGGCACACATAGGAACTTTGCACAGAATATATCAGTAAAAGTAAAAGGGCAATGCTATCAAAGGTTTAATTTTCCAATGAGGATTAAAAACTGATAGAGGTCTTTAAGTATCAGTTTAGAAAATGTTTGATGATTAAAACAAAAAAAAAAAAAACCCAATTCTTGAAGAAATAATGTGTAATCATATCTCCTAAGGGGCTAGCTTGGAAACTGAATAAAATAACATAAATAATTAATTAACTATAAATCTCCAGATAATGAGAAAATTACTCTCATCCTCTCCATTATTGTCCTAGAATGAGCCAAAGGGGTAACAATTAATAAGCGACAATGATCATCTTAAAAGGAAATCAGTGAGGGGAAAATAAAAGCCATCTGAAGCAGGCACAAACTCTCACAGTATAAAAAAATCAAAATTAAAATACATATTTCCTTCGAATTGGGAACTTTTACAAATGTCAGATGATTAGTAAGGTTGCCAGACTGTGCAATTAAATATATAGGACACCAAATTACCTTTGAATTTCAGGTAAATATGAAAAAATTATTCAGTATAAGTATGCGACATTTTCAGGGGACATACTTATAGTAAAATGGTATGGTGTTTATCTGAAACTCAAAATTGAATCACTATATTGTATACCTGAAACTAATGTTACACTACAGGTTAACTAACTGGAATTTAAATAAAAAAATAAAAAATAAAACACATATTTTAAAAATAATTAAATAAATAAATTGTAACCTATTCTCAAAAAAAAAAATTTAACAGGGTGTCATGTATTATACCTGTTAACCCTAACTATCAGCCAACATTTGGTACAAAGAATACAGATGTGATTTACTCTTAGTTCAGGAAAATAAAGAATGTGTGATGAATTTCACATCTTAAGTTATAAAGCCACGGAAACTGAAAAGGAAGAGGGACAGAAAAAGAAGGTACACAACACAGACATCTATTTATATGTATATATATTTAAACTTGTTGATTAAATAAACATTTGTTGTTTATTGTTGTTTTAAGGGGCCATTCAAAAGGATACAACGTCCAAATGTTTGCTTGTATAGATGCTGAAGGGTATTTCAGATAATTTGAGGCGATGACGTTCTTTAAAGATAATGAGAAAACACAGACTTGACTATCGCAATGGTCAGGAAAGATGAGACAAGCAAACTTTAGGGTCAAAAAAGACTAGGTGTCATTTATATGATAAATTTGGCTGCAAAACACAATAAGAAGGATGGCATATTCTGCTTTGCTGGAGAGGATTAAGAGTATATATGGATTGTGATCCTACTTTACATTTAAAGACAGTTTAAGAAGTAAGTTTAAGACATATGTATATACTATGCACTTTGAAGTTAGCCCACGGGAGGAAACAACCCCAGCTCCATTCTTACCTAAACGACTTGAGCAAGTTATTTAATCTGTCCAAACTTCAATTTCCATAGCTATAAATAAAGATAGAAATGCCAACCTTACAGGTTGGGTCAGGTTTTTCTTAAATAGGATATAAATGTGCCTGGTTCAATGTAAGAATTCGGTGTTCCTTAATTCGCTCTCTCTGCCACTTTTCTTTATGAACATCACCACAGAAGAGGTACACATTGTGTTTGCAGAATTAAGGGTCCAACATGGATTCACTCATTAATATGTGAAATCTCTATTCCCAAAATGCCAGCTTCAAGTAACATGGTCTCATGCTGAATTCTGAAATCTGAAATTTAGACATTGTAAAGAGATTCTTAAATGTTAGATAGTAAGTGCATTTTATTAATCCAGGCTCTATTCAGTAATCAAGGAATTCCCTAATGCCTAGGTACCACATAAGGTAGATTAATGCCCAAATAAGAAAGAAAGAAACTCTGAGAAAGAAGTTTCTTCTAAATAAAAAATTCTGTCCAGGACGATCTTCCTTTCAATTGAACTTTATCCTGTTGTTTAAAAAAATGTGGAAAAATGAAAACAAAAATGCATAGTAGACCCTGTACTACCTACGATGGGTGATTGTGATTTTTCTGTTTTATATTTATTAGCTCTCTGTGCAGGATATCCTGGGAATTCATCATCCAAGCAACTGGAGTAGGTGAAACAGTCATTAACTCCCCCAGGGTTTTAGCTTCCTTTTGAAAGTCAAAGGAAAAAGTAGTATAGGACGCCATTCCTTAGAATATTTCTCTTTCTTTCTTTCTTTCTTTCTTTTTTTTAAGACTTTATTTATTTTAGAGGTAAAGAAAGAGAGAGACAGAGAGAGAGAGAGCACCAGGAGGGGGAGAAGCGGGGGGAGAGGGACAAGCAGACTCCCCACTGAGCAGGGAGCCCTACTTGGGGGTTCGATCCCAGGACCCTGAGATCATGACCTGAGCCAAAACCAAGAGTCGGGCACTTAACCAACTGAGGCACCTAGGTGCCCCAGAATATTTCTCTTCTTAATGAGAAACCTCAGTCATTCAATTTATAAGAATTCCAAGCTAGCAATTAGTTCTCTGAACTTGGGGCGGGGAGGAATCAGTCTTGATAGCAGCACCACCTCCAATATCCAGTCCATGGGACTGTTAGGAGACTTAAATCATCAAAACATTTAATAAACTTGAGACAGCACTTCAAATTCCTCCACTGGAATAGGGCTGAAGTCCTGGGTGAATTCATCTAGGTCTCAGAGGCAAAAATAATCCTTTTTATTCATTATCTTCAAGTTTGATCCTGTGCTATGAAACGTACACAATTTCTTCTGTTAATTACAGTGAAAGGCTCTTTACAAATTATAAAATCTTTCTTTTTTTTTTTTTAATTGTATTTGAGATCAGGACCTTTTTTCACTCTGTAGTGCCACTTCCTAGCCCGTTATGTAGTGTAAGATAGGCATCCATTAATATGTCTCTCTGAAGCTGTGGGAAGTGACATGAAGAACACAGCAGCACGTGCGGGCCCAGAAGAGACTGGGCTTCCCTGGGGTCTCCATATCAGCCGGTCCAAGGGGCTT